TGTACATGCGATTTTGTCATTTTTAAATCAAAGAAGAATTAAAAAAAAAAAACTTATTTGATTTTGGATATTCCCTTCAGCATTTTTTGTCCTTAGAAATGCATATTTTGTCTTGGGAAATACTTGTAATTGGTATGTGTGAATCTGTTTGCCGTACAGATTCCGTGACTATGACCTCTGTGCAGAACTTCAATTAATATTTTTCTTTCAGACATAAAATATTTAATTAGTGTTATTTTAGTGTAATAAAAACTAGTCTGAAAGGTCGTCTTTATATGACATGCTAATTTAAATGGTGTCAGTGCATAGGTATGACAAAGCATAAATGTAAGAAGATCCTTCCTAAACTTAACATCAAAGAAAGGAAAATTAGTAGTATTATCTTGTAAATCAAATAGTCGTGACTTTAATTTCTAGAACATTCAAGTTTTCAAATAAAAACCTGCTAAATCTTTCTATTTTTGTCTCGATTGAGAGAAAGAAAATGTTATGTTCCAAAAATGGGTTGATATTATAATTAACAAATATTATTTCTCTGTAATACACAGTTTCCCTGCTTCAAATTAAATAAAATTTCATTCGAAATTCCCGCAGATAGCATTAAGAAAATGTTGTTTCTTCATAAATTCTGTCTATCATCTAATGTTTCAAGGTTTAGAAAAAAAATAGCTTTTGAGGGTGATTCCAAGTACATTTTTATGGAAACTTTTGTTTCTGTTCGGCAGTCAAGTCATCCGACTTATAAGATGGGTCGAGGTAATCAGATAGTGAAGTGTAAAACTAATGGGCGGGGGACTTCTATAACTCTGATCTGATATGTTAAACTCTCCATTAAACCTTGTGAAGATTTCTGTACCTTAACTACTTGTTTGTTTTTGTGGAGGATTTGTTTAAGGTACTACAAATATTTGTCTTTGTACATCAGGATAAAAATCAAATTAAAATTCCATGTGTATTTTCATTATCAATAAAAGATAACAAAGTTTCAGCGAACAGTGGCGTATCGAAATATATTAAAATAGATTTCTTTGCTTTCTCTCCAGGTATATTAACAATATACCTACAGTATAACGACACAATGCAGAACTATAGATATAATGTAGATTCTAAACGTGAATCTTAGTAGACAAACCGGTGATTTAAATGTATTCAAAGTTAATTCTTTAAATCTTTCAATATTTAATAACAAAATCACCAAAATCTAAAGCTTCTCGAGACTTGAAAGAAAAACCACCAATACTCTCAGGATCCTGATAAATATTGGTTTCTGGTTTTAAGAAGCTACATCATGATCAGTAGTTATTAATTTGTAACATTCTGTTTGTAAGTGGTTGATAGTTTTCAACTAATATCACAACACCATTCATTTACACCATTCATTAATATAATTACAATTTATTTTTTATAGTATCCTATGTTCTTATGCGTCTGAAATGTTCCGATAAATTGGTATCCTTTCAGTATTCATTCTCAGATTTATATATTTATGCAAAAAAGTTCCGGGCTTGCCATGCCCTAATGGATAAGAAAATTTCATGAATTCAATAATTTTTGTAATTGACAATATCAAGTCTCTAAATTAAATCCTTCCATCAAAAAAAAAAAAATCCAGTGTGGTTGGATTTAATCTAGAAACATGCATATGGAATCACATCGTCATCTTGGGTTACCCTTTTGCATTTTTCTTGGACTAATCAAAAGATTTACATATTATTGAATTATTGCAAGTGTATTATTTTTATTGTGTAACAAATAAACTCGCATAGCAAATTCTTTCGAAACATACAAGCCTTGATGAATTATCACATTTAATAAAATGCAGAATTTTACCGGCATATTACACAAAGCGGGCATATTGAAAAATGATCTTGTTATAAATGAATGGATTTATATTCGAAGACAGTTTTTACGTATTTTCATTACTCCTTGGCGATAATCCTAGAGGTATTGCAGGCCATTTTACTATTTACTCACAAAACAACAATTACATATTTTTCCAATTCTTAATACCCAGGAGTACCGTAAATGTCAAGACGATTTTTATAAACACAATTATAACATTGAATTTTTCAACATTCGAAACTATTAATTTTGTATATTGTATTCTATTTTTAAAAAATAAAGCTGATTCCAATAATTTTCTTACCTGCTGCATACTTGACGTTCGCCTTTTTACAAGATTCTATTCCACTAGGACTTAATATCTGAGATAGTTGAGGAGAACTCCACTCTGGTACAGTAAGGCAGCAAAGGGCAAATAAATGCCATGTGCTATTTTTTCAAGTTCTGAAAAAAAGGAAAAGACTTGGTCTAGTTTTTATACGGAAATAAAAGAAAGTTGACTTGCACAAATAATTAAGACTCTTCGTGTTGAGAAATTTGATCTACCCGTCGAAGACAGTTCCATTCAACAACATCTCTCTCATTCATCACAAAGTTTTCGCTTACAGAAGACGACAAGAGATTTTTTTTTTCCTTCTGGGTGTTGGTTTAGTGTCTTTTAAATCAATTTAAATAGTGATATTTCCTGACTAGTTATGTTAATGGCTGACCTTCTAATCCCAAAGCTATTCCTTCTATCGTCTGGAATCCAGCATGTCGACCCCTTTATGTTTGTGATGTGTTTTTTCCCTGATTTCTCCATTTCGTCTTTTATAAAGTACATTTCTCTGCTATAAAAATCAGAAAACCGGTAATAATAAAGAGTGTATCTTTGAACTCATCTATGTACTCTCTCAAGTACCCATTCAGAAGTTACTAAGAAACATACTTAAGAATAAGTATCAAGAGATTTTTTTATCGTGCTTTTAGCTTTGCGTGGGGCTCAAATAGTACATCCTGATGAAGTTTAATTCAATATTGGTGTGGGTGACACGGTTGATTTAATAGCATGTCAACTTTTGATGTTATTGACCAGTTTGATAAAACATGATTTAAAGTCCGCTGTGGGAGTTACAAAAACTTGATGAGGCAGACGTATATATAAGAAAACACTTGTATGTCATTGGTATTTAATAGTAACAGATCATAGGAACCATAAAATACACTAACAAACAAGAGGCCCAAGGGCCTTAACGGTCACCTGAATATAATAGAGCACTGTAAAGGGTCCATAGAAGTATAAAACAAAATCAAAAATTAACTGATAGATGAAGCAATGTTGCCCAAGAATTTCAAATATCTATATAGCAAATATACCCTTGTTAATATATTTTAACGTGCGAGACCCGAGTGATCTCCTTGGGATAAAAATCTTTACAGACAAAGATACACAGCGGGTTCCAGTAAATGTTCTACCAAGCCTCTTTCTTTACTCCTCACTAAAATATTTACTGTAATGAAGGAGAAACATCAGTAGTACTATACAGTATATTCGAAAAGTGATGTAAATCAGATGTTGATACTTAAAAAACTCCAAGGAACTTTTAGAAAATTTGAAATCACAAAATTTTACTAAAATCAATAACATCAAAACCTACGACTTTTCAACACTTTATACAACCATTCCCCTCGATGAATTGAAGTTTAGGCTTTTTTGCATCATAGACAGCTGCTTTTTAAATAAAAATGGAACTCGTAAATATACTTACCTTGTCATTGGTCATTTGCCAAATTTATTTTGTTAAAAAGCATTCTTATGTACACACAAGTAATCTGATGTTGATATTAAAAGGATGCTCGAGTCTCTGATTGGCAATATCTATGTAGTTTTTGGAGATCAGGTCTTCCAACAATCTGTTGGAATTCCCATGGTTACCAATTGTGTCCCGTTATTAGCAGACCTATTTTTGTATTCATATGAAGCATAATTTATTCAAAAACTTCTACATGAGAAGAAGAAAACACTCGACATTTAGATATATATATCGACGACGTATTATCAATTAACAATAGTTACTTCCATTCACATGTCGACTCAATATATCCTAGAGAGCTTGAAATAAAAGATACCACAGAGTCTGGCACATCTGTTTCATATTTAGGTATTTTACTAGAAAAAGGCGTTAATGGTAACCTAACAACTAAGCTTTATGATAAACGTGATGACCTCAACTTTTCAATCGTCAACTTCCCTTACTTACCGGTATGTAGCGATATACTCTTATTACCTGCATATGGGGTTAATGTCTCTCAGTTGATTCGATACGCAAGAGCATGATCTACTTATGGACAATTTATAAACGAGGCAAGCTATTGACAAACAAGTTGATGAAACAAGGATATCAACAGTCTAGTTTGAAGTCATCATTTCGCAAGTTTTATGGTCGATACAATGACCTTGTCAGCACATACAATTAACCAACCATTGAGTCAAATGCTGACTGACGTTGTTAGGCCATTATTTATGCATGAACTGTCTACAGATTTTTCCGGGGGGTGGGGGTGGGGGTTCGGATCATGACAAGGAGCACACGGCGGGTGTGACCGGTCGGCAGGGGATGCTCACTCCTCCATGGCAACCGATCCCACCTGTCCGTGTTTACTCTGCTCCAAATTTTTATCGTTTCATTGGACTTTCGAGATTGAATACTCGCTGTTCATTATCTTCATATTTCATATTCAGCAGAGCCCCGCCCTAGCACCAGAACCCCCTTACCCTGGGGCCATAATTTTCACAATTATGGTATTTTTAAAACAAAGTAACTATGTAAATTACTGAACTATAGAGGACTCAATGCTTAGCATGCACTTGCATACTCCTGTTTTATCCCAGGAGTTGACATACCCATCGATTCTAGGTTTTTATATGTCTCTGATTCTAGCGAAGTTTAGTGAAGAAAAAAAAATACGAAATGCCTTTATAGGTATTTAGTTAAAATATCATTAAAATTGATAAGTACGCATGGATTGGGCTATTGTAATAACGAGAATGGTTATAAATTTTCTTCGGGTTCGTTATCTAAATATTTTTAACATCATATTCTCGCAAACGTTTTTAAAGGGTGTTATTTCCATACAATACTTTAACATTTTATTGTCATAGATTTGTAAACAATCTGAATCTGATGGAAACCCAAATTTTAGATGGATGATCTTGCTAAAACGAGAAGCCTTCTGGACCAATTAAATGTTGGCATTATACAGTACTTAGGTACATTAACATTATCAGATGATATTTTGTCTCCTCTTAATAAAAGACCTGCGTCTGCGAAAAAGAAAATCATAACTCAAATTGAGTTAATCTGTTCATTTCTTGTTTGCTTATGATTTCATATATAATATTTATAATTCCTCAGCAGTATAAGATTATAGGATCTCAAGTTCTGAAGTCATGCTCAAACTTGGTGCGAAAGCTTATTTATTTATTTCAGGGAAGAAAAATGGAATAAGTAAAGTTGATTTAGATCAGAGACCCCCAGCAGACAGGCATGCTGTTCTTATGTGGGAGCAGGTAATTTAAGATATTTCTGCTAAGATGAAATGTTTGTAAATTTAATTCTGCTGGGATACTTTATTGGAACTAAGCAAGAAAGAACTATCCACTTTATCTTTTCCTTCATAGCAATTATTCTGGAGTCCCGTACGAAACTCTTAACCGTTTTCCGCCTGGAGTCCGGGCGGACTGAGACGGATTCCGGTTAAGTGCTAGGTGGACTAAGCCGTACTAAAGGCGGACATGGAAAACGTCTTAGCTTTAACCGTTTTCCGCCTCATATCTTAGGTGGATTCCACCTTAAATCTGAGGCGTATTTTTGTTAGACGTTTTCCGGCTTAGCTCTTAGACGGATTCTGCATTAATCTTTAAATTATGAACAGTTTAAAATATGACCACATGTTTCATTCCTCTAGATGACCTTGTTTTCTAAAGGCACTAATGGGGGAGATATTCGAAAAAAATAGTCAAACATGGCTTTTAATCCAGTTATTAGACTTTGAATATTAGGCTTTTTATTACATTGAAGATTGCGTTTCCTAGAGGAGTAATTTTTTTGCAGCCATATTGTATATCAGATATACGTTTCTAATGCGCTCCTGCTTGGCCACCCTCTACAGGGGGCGGAAGTTTTCAGGCAGAGCCTCTCTTTGTATATGCATTGGTCAGTTTGAATGCAGATTTTGAAAGTGATGACTGTTGGTCAATTTGGTTGATGAATCTTTATATCTTATTCAGTTTAAAAAGGATCTCAGGCAAGATGTATGCCTGTAAACTATTATTCTGAAGATGATTTGTTATGTGTTTTTGGAAAAAAGAGTGATAAAATACAACTTTTGGTGTTATTCTACTAAGCTTTGAAGTGAAGCAAATTATGCTCGGTGAACATGCTGAATGGACAAAGAAGGACCTCTAAACACTGTACAGGAGTACATGTAACTGTGAAAAACAATGGTAAGTTAAAATTTTTAGCGGTGTTTTTTCTTTTCTCTCTTTTTTTGAATTCGTACAGCCAAAATATGTACACACCACTCTCCACCATTACTTCCGATAATTAATTCCAACTGGAATAGCATTGAGGCCCTATATTCACATTATACTCTACACTGACCCAGATGTTATAAAAAAGTTTGCGCATAAAATTTCAGGCGCTATTTCTTTTTGCCTAATGTAGGGTAGCCCCCCCCCCCCTTTGTTTTCAATGTTATGAGTATATCCTTTTAGATTAAAATATTAAAAAGTACAAAGATAAAGGATAAAAAAAAATTACTAATTCATTTGTCAATTATTAATCAACATGTACTTTTGTAATTTTATTTTTCACTTTGCGTATGTGTTTTCCGGAAATACGATTTCTTTTTAAAATTAGCGACCTGTAGTTACTTCCAGTTTTAAAATCACGATTGAAAAATGTTAGCACTGGTTTAACCAGTGGTTTATTAGTGGAATGGTGACACAGACACCATTCTAAAATTGTAGTTCGCTGCTCAGTTGGGATTAGGAGTCAGGTTCTGAGATGTAAGTCATCATTTAAACTATTAATATATACATCATGTACATGGAATTCTTCTTTCTTTTTTTTTTACCTTGATGAAATTCTTAAAATACATTTTTGAGGTGAAATTTGAACAAGTTTTTTAAATTTATTTTTTCATCCATATTGAAGTGTACCATTCCTCCTAACGTTGATGCATCTACACGATAGTTTTCCTAATTATTCAATAAGCAGCTGCAAATGTACATTTAAAAACATACATGGATATGAGTATATTCATTTAAGTTAAATCTACATATTTCATGAGCAGCTATTGAATATACATGTAAATTAAAAGTGTTTGTAGAATGGGGTCTTACGTTATTACCTTTTACAAATATATGAAGATTATGAAAAGTAATTGAATAAGAGATTAAAAACCTATTTAAGTCAATTTTAAAACTGTAGATATTAGGATTTTCTGCAGTGCAGTGTTATACATTTCAGCACTTCGAACTTTTTAAGTCCTCAGCAATTTTGGCCGATAAAGGTCAAATGAGGACTGCGGCAACTGCAGCAAGTCAGGATGAAGGCCAGAAGTCACTGTCCATCCACCCTTAGGAGTAAACTGGCAATGCTGCTGAGACTTCTCCATGTTCTCATTTGAGAGCTTGCCGAAGATTCATGGGAAAAAGGAATGCAATCTAACACCTGTGCTTCATTCGACTGTATTGGAGGTTATGAGAGGTAAGAATACATCAAGACATCAGATGTCTGATAAATATATGAAAAATTATTCTTATATTTTGTAAGCTTTAGTGTCGAGAGAAATTAGACAAGATGTTTGCATCCTGATCTGTAAATTAAATACAGAATAGAATGCCATAAAAGAGTCATTTTATTGAAAAATGTTGAAGAGTTGTTTTAAAACGAGAAATTCATCTCAGTTTGTATTTTCTTTATAGACTTCAACATGTGGTGACCGTGTGTGAAGAATGGCAAAGGAAAGCTTGAATCATGGAAAAGATAATTAAGTTATTCCAGATAACTTATGAAGAAGAACAATAAAAATGACACACTCTTTCCTTGCAGACAGAAAGAATTTTATGAAAATAATCAACCAGACGTGGTAAATTAACAGCTAATTGTTTTGTTGAATTGACTTTTAAACAATGGTTTTGTCTTTCTTTTTTTATTTGTTAATTCAACTGTGACAGTCACATTATTATGTAGATGTATGAAGAAAAATCAAGTTTTGGTACAATATTTTTTATCTTTTTATTTCATGTGAATTTAAGGCAAGGCATAACATTTTCAAATGTAAAATTTTTTTAGTCATTGAATTTTAAAGAACTTGTAAATAAATGATTTATAATTTGTATAATTTCATTTTTTTAATTGTTAAGTTTGTAAAAGTCTGAAACAACAATAGCTGATACACTGTGATTAGCAGATTATGTAACCATTAATGCAAAATCCCTCTAGCCATTAAGGTGGAATACGCCTTGCTAGTAAGGCGGAATACGCCTATCTTAAGTAAGGCGGAATACGCCTTGCTAGTAAGGCAGAATACGCCTATCCTATGTAAGGCGGAATACGCCTTGCCATTAATGCGGAATACGCCTTGCAGGTAAGGCGGAATATGCCTTGAAAGTAATCCATATTAGGAAAGGTGGAATACACCTTAACTCATTTAAATATTTCGAGCCCTATTCCGCCCTGATTCCACCCGGACTCCGTCTAATAGTCTTATTAAGTTCTTTATAGATAAAGGCGGATTCCGTCTTTTGATTTCCACCTATGGTCAGGGCGTAAATTTTCATACAGGAGTATGACGCCATTGTAAACTTATTGACTTTACGAAAATAAATATGATGTCTGCCACAAAGATTCAAAGAATAAAACACCCACTAATTTGATATACATTGTATCCATTTTAACAGCATTTTAAATATTTTCTTTTGTACATATGTATTTTATTTTTATTAGGTTTATGGTATGTTTTTTTTCCTTCTATTTTTGAATCTCGGCAGATGTTTACTTATCTGCTCTTTGGAAAAGTGGAAGCACCTTTCCAGAGTATTTAATGATCATATAATAGAATAAACAAAGAAAACTAGTTTGTGATAGTTTTATCAGTGCACTGAAATCTGTTGTACCTTTAGTGAGGCATATAGTTTTTAGCTCACCTGAGCGGAAAGCTCAAGTGAGCTTTTCTGATCACATTTTGTCCGGCGTCCGTCTGTCTGTCCGTCTGTCTGTAAACTTTTCACATTTTCGACTTCTTCTCAAGAACCACTGGGCCAATTTCTACCAAACTTGCCACAAAGTATCCTTGGGTAAAGGGGATTCAAGTTTGTTCAAATGAAGGGCCACGCCCTCTTTCAAGGGGAGATAATTAGGGTTTAGTGAAAAAATAATGGCATCATTTAAAAATCTTCTTCTCAAGAACCGTAGGGCCAGGAAAGATGAAACTCATGTGGAAGCATCATCAGGTAGTGTAGATTCAAGTTTGTTCAAACCATGACCCCCGGGGGTAGGGCGGGGCCACAATGGAGGATCAAAGTTTTACATAGAAATATATAGGAAAAATCTTTAAAAATCTTCTTCTCAAGAAATCTTTAAAAATCTTCTTCTCAAGAACAGCAAAGCCATGATGAGTCATATTTATATGGAAGCATCCTCAGGTAGTGTAGATTCAAATTTGTTCAAACCATGACCCCTGGGGGTAGGGCAGGGCCACAATGGAGGATCAAAGTTTTACATAGAAATATATAGGAAAAATCTTTAAAAATCTTCTTCTCAAGAACAACAAAGTCATGATGAGTCATATTTATATGGAAGCATCCTCAGGTAGTGTAGATTCAAGTTTGTTCAAATCATGACCCCAGGGGGTAGGGCAGGGCCACAACGGAGGATCAAAGTTTTACATAGAAATATATAGGAAAAATCTTTAAAAATCTTCTTCTCAAGAACAACAAAGTCATGATGAGTCATATTTATATGGAAGCATCCTCAGGTAGTGTAGATTCAAGTTTGTTCAAATCATGACCCCCGGGGGTAGGGCGGGGCCACAATGGAGGATCAAAGTTTTACATAGAAATATATAGGAAAAATCTTTAAAAATCTTCTTGTCAAGAACAGCAAAGCCATGATGAGTCATATTTATATGGAAGCATCCTCACGTAGTGTAGATTCAAGTTTGTTCAAATCATGACCCCAGGGGGTAGGGCAGGGCCACAATGGAAGATCAAAGTTTTACATAGAAATATATAGGAAAAATCTTTAAAAATCTTCTTCTCAAGAACAGCAAAGCCATGATGAGCCATATTTATGTGGAAGCATCCTCAGGTAGTGTAGATTCAAGTTTGTTCAAATCATGACCCCCGGGGGTAGGGCGGGGCTGCAATGGACTATCAAAGTTGTACATAGAAATATATAGGAAAAATCTTCTTCTCAGGAACAGCAAAGCCCAGATGGTATATATTTATATGGAAGCATCCACAGGTAGTGTAGATTCAAATTTATTCAAATCATGACCCCCGGGGGTAGGGTGGGGCCACAATGAAGGATCAAAGTTTTACATAGAAATATATAGGAAAAATTTTAAAAATCTTCTTCTCAGGAACAGCAAAGCCCTGATTGATGTATTATTATGTGGAAGCATCCTCAGGTAGTGTAGATTCTATTTTATTCAAATCATGGCCCCCATGGGTAGGATGGGGCCACAATGGAGGATCAAAGTTTTAAATAGAAATGTAAAGGAAAATATCTTCTGAAGAACTGCAAACCATGATTAGTCATTTTGATATGGAAACATATAGAAAAAATATTTTCTTCCCAAGAACAGGAAAGCTATGTTTAGTCATACTGATATGGAAGCATCCTCAGGTAGTGTAGATTCAAGTTCAAATGATGACCCCTGGGATAGGGAGGAGCCACAATGGGGGATCAAATTTTTACAAAGGAATATATGGGAATTTTTTTTAAAAATCTTCTCAAGAACAACAAAGCCATTTGTTATATTGACATGGAAGCATCATCAGGTAGTTTAAAATTCAAGCCCCCCCCCCCCTTCCCGGTAATCTTTTCAATACTGAACTGATTTGTGCTTTTGCCCAGCCAATGTGCTCAGGTGAGCGATGTGGCCCATGGGCCTCTTGTTAAATACTTTCATTATACTGATATCTGATAGAAGTAATATTGTACATTACATGTTAACCTACTTTCTTTTTTTTTTTTTTTTTTACAGAGAAACACTTGTTTTCTGCCAGAGGACCTGAAGAATTTCTACCTGACTACTGATGGTTATAAGTTGACATGGTGTGTAAAAATGGATAGTAAGTGTCTTAGCAGATAGATAGCAATATATGTTTATCTGATAATAACTGGTTGATTTTTATGTAAAAGAATTCTGTACTAAACCTACATGTACTTAAACGTCGATTAACCTTAGGTAGCTTATTTTCTGAAATACAGAAAAGGAACAGTAGTATAGAATTACTTTAAAAATGATTATACAGAAGAAATATTTACTTGTGACATTAAGAAATGAAGGATATTCTGAATACAGTTGAACTTTGTTGTTTAGGGTTGGATACCGTTAAGTATGACAGGGTTTGACATTAACTTTTACGAGTACTAGTCCAGTCGGGCTACTTCCCATAATTTTTACTAGCCCTGACCCAAAAATCGCTAGCCCTGACCAAACAAGCAAATTTTAATTTTTATAATCGCCAATTTTAATGATGTAATTTTGAAGTCGTCTCTCGAGCGCGTCAAGATTTTGACAGGCTTAGCCAATAAAGTCTGGTTCATCACAACATGGGACTATTGTAAGCAATGAACTTTAACAAAATTTTTATCCTAAATATACATAAATTAATTACAGAACATATTTTTATGCCCCGCCATGAATATGGCCGGGGCATATAGTGTTTGTCATGTCCGTCTTCCGTCCTTCCGTCCTTCTGTCCTTCCGTCTGTCCTTCCGTCACACTTTGCGTTTAGCTCTGTTCAAAGCTCAGTTTCAAAGAAACTATCCAAGATATTTTTATCAAACTTCATATGCTGATAGATATTGATGAGGGCTATGCAACTGCATCAACATTTTTTGACCTTGACCTTTCCTTTGACCTTGACCTCACTTTTCTTAAATTAGTGTTTAGCTCAGTTTTAAAGATACCATTCAAGATAGTGTAATCAAACTTCATATGTTGATACATACTGATGTAAGCTATTCAATTGTATCAACATTTTTTTGACCTTGACCTTTATTTTGACCTTGACCTCACTTTTCTTAAATTAATGTTTAGCTCTGTTTTAATGAAACCATTCAAGATATTTTTAACAAACTTCATATGCTGATACATACTGATGAGAGCTATTCAACTGCATCAACATTTTTTGACCTTGACCTTTCCCTTGACCTCACTTTTCTTAAATTAGTGTCAAACTTCATATGCTGATACATACTGATGAGAGCTATTCAACTGCATCAATATTTTTTGACCTTGACCTTTCCTTTGACCTTGACCTCACTTTTCTTAAATTAGTGTTTAGCTCAGTTTTAAAGAAACCATTCATAATATTTTCATCAAACTTCATATGCTAATACATACTGATGTAACCTTTTCAACTGCATCAACATTTTTTGACCTTGACCTTTCCTTTGACCTTGACCTCACTTTTCTTAAATTAGTGTCAAACTTCATATGCTGATACATACTGATGAGAGCTATTCAACTGCATCAATATTTTTTGACCTTGACCTTTCCTTTGACCTTGACCTCACTTTTCTTAAATTAGTGTTTAGCTAAGTTTTAAAAAACCATTCATAATATTTTCATCAAACTTCATATGTTAATACATACTGATGTAACCTTTTCAACTACATCAACATTTTTTGATCTTGACCTTTCCTTTGATCTTGACCTCACTTTTCTTAAATTAGTTTCTGAATCAAACGTCATATGCTGATACATACTGATGTAAGCTATTCAACTGCAGCAATATTTTTTGACCTTGACCTTTCCTTTGACCTTGACCTCACTTTTCTCAATTTGTGTTAAAATGTTGCATTACTAATATACCCTTGGCGGGGCATTCATGTCCTATGGACATATTTCTAGTTTCAGTAACTTTTTATACCATATTGATACTGAACGACGCTAGTGTCTACCCTGCATGACTTGTCTATTACATTTACAGCTGTAACCACTGGTTACTGTATTTTCATGGCCAATCTCTACACGCGAGAAAAAGTACAATCTACTTGCATGAAACGAAATATGAGTTTGATTGAAAAGGAAATACAATACTTTTGAGAAATTATAAACTCTATTTTTTAAAATCAATATGGGGGGGGGGGGGGGGGTTCGATGCACACTTCAGGTGCCTATGGCTAAAAATAGCAATTGTGTCATACGGGGATTTTTTTCTTTACAGTGTTTTCAATCGGACAAAATTTCTTTAAAAAAGTTCTTTGAATATTTATTTGGAAGACTGAAATGTGGTTTAACAGTTATTTTATGAACACGACCAATCAGTCTAGTTAACGTACATTTTACACGACCGGACCACTCATTTACTAGACTGGGTCGGTCGGACATGCCTTAGTGTCAAACCCTGTATGAAACGGTACGATATCATACCAGTAGTTTTGAAATGATACGGTATTTTTAACGATATGGTACTATACCTTGATGAATGAGAATGGGGGTTCATTTTATAACAAATGTGCTTTCACCATGCAGTCACAAACCTTTCAATGTTATAATCTAAAATGAGCTTTAATAAACTATGACGTTTATATTTCAACCTTTTTATGAATGATCAACAAAACAAATAAATTGAATCTCAAGCAAATTAATTTGACTAGATATATAATCACACGTATGCACACAACCTCGCTTCACCCGGTTGCCAGGACCCATTTTGTTTGGTCGCACTAAACGACGAAACATTAGAAAAGGGATAGAGATGCACATCACATTTTTGCGACATTTTGCCGTTTTAATTTACATTTATTATCAGTTTTTATTGATAAAATTAAAACATGATTAATGTGAATGTATTTGATTTTTTTTTTAAATATACTTATTGATTTACCTCGACTCTCGGCAGTTGATAGCAAGTATCATAGTTGTACTACTTAATTAGCCTACTCTTTCAATGGGCAGATATCATTTTGAATGTATTAAAATGTTTCAAAGATTAAGAAATACCGTTATAAGTTCCGGTATTAATTGAAACAGTATTTTACCGGTATATTGAAATAACCATTTGGTATGGTATTGGTACCAAGTACCGGTATCCAACCCTAACTTTGTTATCTGAAACATCGATATCTCGAATACCAGTGATATGTCGAGGTGATCTGGCAGTCCCAACTATTTTTTCTTTATATTTTTTAACCTCAATATCTTGAATCCTCGGATGTCTCAAAGTTTAATCTCTTTCCCATCGAGTTCAAGGTAACAAGGTTTGACTGTATTACACGTGACCATCATAATGGTAATATTTCATTGCCATTAAAGCAAACAAAATACACATCAAAGGTTTTCCTTTAAAATATTCAAAAATGAAAATGCTTCCAGTAAGGTACAGTAATTAAGTTTAATTGTGAATAAACATAGCACACATATTATAAGAGAAGATGACAATCATGAATCTTGCCATTGCTGTTTATCATCCATGCATTATTGATTTACCTCCCTTGTCTTTGTACCAGATGGACCTATTCCTCTTGGGAAGCTCCACATCAATAGATTGAGTCAGTTAACACGTGTAGGGGGGAGCATCGCCCCAAGTCATGTTAACCCCACCCTGGCAGATCTAGAAGGGGACTCAGACACTGAGGATCAGGCTTCAGGTGAGGGGAGAGGAAGACAGCTAGGGTCGTAAGGAAATTCAGATTATTGTTTTAATATAAGAAATTGTACTTATTCTGTAATAAGTATAAATGTGATGAGAAGAAATGTCAAGCAGAAGAAATAGAAGAAATACACCAAGATTTTAATAAGTTATATACAGTGATAAATGCACAAGTTCAATGATTCATCATTTATTAATAAATTCTTCAATGATATATTGAACCAACTGTTTAAAACAAAAGTAAAACTTTCATACATTTTAGGTAACACTGCCAAAGAAAAGCCTACTCATAATTACTTTATTCTTGAAAAAGAGCAAAACATTATGGAAATACACTTCTTGGAGCATTTTTCGATGTGTTAGAAGTCAGGTATACGCAATTTTAAGATTTCTTTAATACATTTTTCTCATAAGAACTCCGATTTCCTTAGGTTTAGAGAAGCCTACATTTGACAACAGGTGTAAGGTGTTTGAGCTAGACCCATGTGATGGATATGGCAGAGTTTGTCTTGTGTTCAAAGAAAGCAAGACAGGTAACTCTTTACAGTCAAACATGCTTGATACATTGTTTTATTTGTGTCCCTTGTTTCATGCACAGAAATTTATGGCAAGTGCAACTGTATGTTAATGAGCAAATATTGTGTCATCATTATTTTATATTCATTTGTATTGTATTACCATTTGCTTGTACATATGTATAAACACATTTCTCATAAAAGGTTTTGAAAGTGGCAAGAAGAATGTAATTTTGGTTGTGTTGATTTTAAACATATTTGTGTACTATTATATGTGGAAATAAAATATTGCTGTGAATTAATATCCTAACAGTAAAATATCCTATTCATCTCCAATGAAATAAGGGAGATTTTTTTTTAATATGAATCCCACATTAATATTCAGGATATTGACCTTTTCACCTTTTCTAACATTTTAACATTGGATTGTGATTTCCCAGGATTGTCCTATTTTGATGCCAATGAATTATTTGATGGCAAATACACATCAGAACTAGTGCGATTTGGTATGACTTTAACCTATACCTTAGTTTCTTCAATTACCCCGGCTTTTTGGGCATGGTAATGTCCTTGTCACACATCAACAAAATTTTTGATGTGTGTTATGTTGCAGTTAAAGTTTTTTCTTTATCTTTTATGTGATTTTTTCAACTTTGTGTGACTTGTGACAGTTTATCTTGCAGAAATGGCCAGCAAATTTCCTTTTGTATCCAAATTTATAGGTCAAATAAATGTTTAAGTTTCATCTGATTTCTGATTTGATATCCCTGTTTAATTTAATAGAGTCTATTTTATGCAAAACCTTTTTCATATTTTCTTAAAATTATTCAGCCACCGGTAAGAGTATAGCTTGTAAATTAAAACAAAAAAAAGAAGAAACTTTTCTATCAATCAATATGGATTACTAGAATTTTTCATAATTCAAGAAAAACATGCAGGCACAATCTAAAACATAATTAAAATTACTTGAAATTTATTTGACCTACTAACCTTTGTGGATTATTGGCACTTGTGTACCCTTGTTTTGTCAAATGTATATAGCACTTGTAAAATGCATACTCATTTTGTTTACATCATATGTTATTGAAGTCTTTGGGGATCAGTAATTATAACCTGACAGATTTATAAGTTATCTATTTATTTGATACGTAAAAACCATTAGATTAACTGTTTGCATACAAGAAATATTTTTAAATTTGTGAAATAGAGAAATTGAGTCATTTTTTCCTTTAGATGTAAATTTGTAGAACATTGAAAACCTACAACATTTCTTAAGGATTACGGTGTAGTGATACATATATCAGCAGTGTAACACTCCTTTAAGGTTACAGTGTAGTGATACATGTATCAGCAGTGCAACACTCCTTTAAGGTTATAGTGTAGTGATACATGTATCAGCAGTGCAACACTCCTTAAAGATTATCGTGTAGTGATACATGTATCAGCAGTGCAACACTCCTTAGAGATGACAGTTAAGTGGTACATGTATCAGCAGTGTAACACTCCTTAAAGATAACCGTTTAGTGAAACATGTATCAGCAGTGTAACACTCCCTAAGATTACAGTGTAGTGATACATGTATCAGCAGTGTAACACTCTTTAAATATTACAGTATAGTGATACTTGTATCAGCAGTGTAACATTATTTAAAGATGACGGTGTAGTTGTACATGTATCAGCAGTGTAACACTCCTTAAAGATTACAGTGTAGTGATACATGTATCAGCAGTGTAACACTCCTTAAAGATTACAGTGTAGTGATACATGTATCAGCAGTGTAACACTCCTTAAAGATTACAGTGTAGTGATACATGTATCAGCAGTGTAACACTCCTTAAAGATTACAGTGTAGTGATACATGTATCAGCAGTGTAACACTCCTTAAAGATTACAGTGTAGTGATACATGTATCAGCAGTGTAACACTCCTTAAAGATTACAGTGTAGTGGTAAATGTATCAGCAGTGTAACACTCCTTAAAGATTACAGTGTAGTGATACATGTATCAGCAGTGTAACATTCCTTAAAGATTACAGTGTAGTGATACATGTATCAGCAGTGTAACACTATTTAAAGATTACAGTGTAGTGATACATGTATCAGCATTGTAACACTCCTTAAAGATTACAGTGTAGTGATACATGTATCAGCAGTGTAACACTCGTTTAGGATTTCTGTATAGTGATACATGTATCAGCAGTGTAACACTGCTTTAGGATTTTTGTATAGTGATACATGTATCAGCAGTGTAACACTCCTAAAAGATTACAGTGTAGTGATACATGTATCAGCAGTGTACCACTCCTTAAAGATTACAGTGTAGTGATACATGTATCAGCAGTGTAACACTCCTTAAAGATTACAGTGTAGTGATACATGTATCAGCAGTGTAACACTCCTTAAAAAAGATTACAGTGTAGTGGTAAATGTATCAGCAGTGTAACACTCCTTAAAGATTACAGTGTAGTGATACATGTATCAGCAGTGTAACACTCCTTAAAGATTACAGTGTAGTTGTACATGTATCAGCAGTGTAACACTCCTTTAAGGTTACAGTTTAGTACGTGGTACATTTATCAGCAGTGAAACACTATTTAAAGGTTACAGTACAGTTTTCTGCTTTTATTTTGAAATTAAACCATTGTTTAATATGAGCTATTCCTGACTTTCACGAATTTTTCTGCCTTATAAATCCAGTATCATAGCAATGCATCATTGGCAACTAAATAACCTGCTATTAAACATAAAATAATAAATGCAAATGTTTGATCAAAAATAAAAAATAATATCTTTAGGATTTTATAATGTGCATCAACAATTTTTATAATACTGGTATCAGGGATCTCTTCTTGAGTGTTTGTCTGCCCCCTTTTCCTTACTTCTCCTGGGGAGCTGCTGGATTTTAAAATCTTTCCACAAGTTAGTGATACTGCCCATTAGATTTATAGATACATGTATTATATTTTTAGATACTTGTATTAACGACGTTGGATCCTGATATTTAAAGTCTTAAACTTTTTTTGTCAAGTATATTTTTAGCTTGTACACACATAGCTTAATTAAAAATCAAAACAAAAAATGGGGGTCAATATGCTTCTTTTGGCGCTACAGTACATTTAAAATGACCTTTTTGCACTGAATTTGTGTCTTAATCAAAAATAACATCTTCAACGTTTTCCCTCCAATATTTTTTATCCAAATAAATCATGGGACAATGTATGCTATTATTCTCTTTTAAAAAAGACACATTAAAATTGTGACAAAGAAAAATTTTCAAATTGCTTCGCGTAATCAATTATTTGACCTTTCTGCACTCACAAAATGTCATTTTTCGGGCATTAAAAATTTAACAAGCAAGAAAAATACTTTAAAGTCTTAAACTTTTGCTGAATTTAAGTAGATTGATCAGAGTTATCATATTTATTCAGAAAAGAAAATCAAAAGTGGAGGTCTATGATGTTATTTTTTAGATATTACTAAAAAACTGTTAATTTTGTGATAAAATTAGCTCAATTTTTTCCTGGAGTTTCAGAATATATTTTCTATATTTGTCACAATATGATGATAGAATTCACAAAAACTGATTTAATTAATATTTTAGAACCAGCATTAAACATTTCAATGCACAAAATAGCTCTGTGTGCAACCAGCATGGAAAAATAGGAATCTAAACTTAACAGTACTGTATATATTTCAAAAGGGAAAAAATGATCATTTTCTTTTAAAAAAATCTTCCGCCACAAAATATAGTTCCTGGCTTAATCCTATTTGAATGGAATTTAATCGCGTTTTTTCATTGGATATAGTATAATTTGCATTGTAGAATCCAGATTTAATGTTAGAACTTAAAAATAATGCAGAATTTTAGAAATAAAGCTCCAGACCAAAATCTGCTCAAAAGCTCAGGATCGAACGTCCTTAAGTCATAGGTTTGTGGGGTGAAAGCATTTTTACCATTGAAATTTCAGAATAATTTATGATAAACATGATCATATTTGTAATTTCACAAATTATTTAATGTTTCAAGATCACACAATTTATGAAAAGGATTGAATTAAAACCAGAGGAATGCAACTTCACAAATTCTTAATTTTTATTATAATAAACTTTCAGTTTATGGAGAGATGTTGAAATATAAATAAATGTAGAATTGATTTTTGTACTTTATATATGTTTACATTTTAATGTACAATAGGAGGGAATGAGCCAAAAGTTGAGATTTGGTTCCTTGACCGAGCATTGAGGTGGCACTTCCTGACAGACTCCTTTATTGCTTACTACAGGCTGTTACTGATGCACCTTGGGCTTCCTCAGTGGCAGTACTCATTGACTGACATAGGGCTATGTCAGCAAGCTCAGGTAATAAACTTAAAAACATAGGGCTCTGTCAGCAAGCTCAGGTAATAAACTTAAAGACATAAGGCTATGTCAGCAAGCTCAGGTAATAGACTCAGTGACATACAATGTAGGACTATGCCAGCAGACTCTGGTAACAAACTTAATGACATAGCACTATGTGTGAAGACTCCAGTATTAAACTAACTAAATAGGACTTTGATAGGAAATACACTTTGCCTAGGTAATACACTCACTGACATAGGAAAATGTTAGCAGGCTCTGGTAATAAACTCATTGATAAAAGACTGTACCAGCTGGCTTTATATGTAAATATTTACATTTGCAAATATTGTTCGGTTCGGTTTCGGTTCCAGTTTTCTGGATTTCGGTTCGGGTCTGGTTTATATATTAGAATATGAAAAACAAAAAAATGACGTCGATTGATTTATTGATTGTATGTTGTTTTACGTCCCGTTGGAGAATTTTTCCCTCAAGTCACTATATACCGGTGATGGGCTTCAAATTTAGACCTTTACTCTGCACTCAGGGCCATTGAGCACTGAGGGTTCTTTATCATGCCAACGCTCACCGTGACACGGGGCCTCGGTTTTTAAGGTCTCATCCGAAGGACCCGCAACACTTCAAAGTGCCAAACGCTTGGCGGAGGAACAGTTTCTACCTTTTTTTTCTCGACTTAGGTCGGTCGCGGCCGTGGTTCGAACACACGACCTTCCGATCACGAAAAATGACGTTGAAATCAGAGACATAAAAAAAAACCTGTCTCTGTTGAAATCGGAAGAATAATGACGGTAACAGTGATAAATAAACATCACAACTGAAATCTACTTCAATTTAAGACAAAACACTTGTCACGAAAGGATAAGATAATAATTATCAAAACGAGCAAAAATTGTCTGGTTGTCGGTAATAGTCAGCCTAGTAGTCTTTAACACCGATTAGTTGCTAGCTGATCTCAAGACGTTAATATGGTAAAGAATTATTTTCAAGGTGACCGATCCGACCCGAAAAAATTTGGAATCGTGACAATCCCAAAAAAGTATAGACTTACTGATATTGGGCACTGCTAGCAATCGCAATGAATAAAATAGCTATATGTACATGTACATGTAAGTACATGTAAGTCTGAATCAGTGAACTTAAGAACTCTAGGTAATAAACTCACTAACCAAGCTTATGTTAGCTTACATGTATATAGTTTATACCACAGGCCTTTAGATCGCTTAAATCCGACTTACAAGAAGTTTGGGGGTGAAAAAAAAGATATTTTTTACACCCCAAATTTTTGTAAGTCGGATTAAAGCGATCTAAAGGCCTGTGGTTTATACCTGTACTCTTATAGCAGTGGTTTTATAATCAATCAAATAGAGGTTAGAATTGAATGTATAAAGCTATGTGGACAAGCTAAAAAAAAAATAGAGTTACACATGGTTAATGATGCCTAACTTGTTCATCTATTTTGTTTAGCAATGGTTTAATATGTATGCCCCCACACGACTGGAGTTGGACCAGGAATCATTGTGTGAGACTCATTCCGTCCCCTCTGTGTCCAAATCTGGCAGTGTCCTTGACATCAGCAAAGTCTTCAAAGGAAAAACAGACAAAAAGTAAGCTCTTCTGTCTCCTTGTCCATTTAAAAGAAAATATAGAGTTAATTATTATGTTATTCTGTCTATAGTGCATGTGATCGGATATAAACTTGATGGTCATTTCAATTTTTATTTTTAGAAAACCAACAGCAGCCTCACAACCTAATGCTGCCAATGCTAAGAAGAAGCCTGTTATAACATCTGCTAAGTATGGGGAAAAATTTATATTATTTTATACAACTTTAGCTAGAAAAAAAACAAGAAAATACTTTACCTTTCAATATTCAGGGACATTAAAGCTTTTCTTAACTTTTGTGTATCTGTCAAATTAAAAATAATATTGCAATTTAGTATAGTAACTAATTTATTTTACTGCAGATCTCAGCAGGTTACAAACACACGGATGTCAGCGTCTTCTTCTCAAATATCCAACAAGAGCTCAAAGTGATCATTGCTGGAAAAATGTTTTTATTTACATATTTATACATTATATTTAATAAATTAATTTACAATTTTTGTTTTATGTTTGAATTAAGGTGGTATGGGATACCAAACGAAACTTCTTCTACATATTTATGTACCCAAATTAGAAGGATTTGAAATACCCCCACCTTTCAGTATATTAAAGTGTAATTTTAATAATTTTTTTATTATTTTAATGAGAAATACAAAAACGATTTTTTTTTCTTGCATAATTCTTTTTTCATAAGCTTAATATTATAGGCAGGCGTTTGCTAATATAAAGTGTTTATAAAAACAAAAATGACAAGAAATATGTCTTAGTATTTTTTTAATTTTCAACAAAAAATAAGCGTAAAAAACTGGGAAAACTTTATTTCTTGAAAACAGACGGATAACATTTCATGAAAGTCTACAATAAGAATGTATCTTAATATGTTAGCAAAGTGAAATAAACAAATTGAAAATATATATATAAATGGAAAATATAAAATGCATTTAAAATTTTTTGAATTAAAAGATCCGAGCGGAAGAGTTATCCTTCTTTATTTTCCAAGGGTTGAAAAAACCTGGGTGCTATTTTAGAAATGATGAGCATTTTTCCCAACCATAAAAAAAATCGCACTCTATAGTTTTCAACTTTGAGCGGTTTTGAAAACAATGCATGGACAATCGCTTTCCAGGACGTGTCTTGTTCAGAGCAATTGCATTCATCTGAACGTTTTGGGACTATATACAACAGCTAGCTGATTTGTGACCAAACAGTTACTTCTTGAATTAAATAACAAAAAAGTCCAGCTCTGGTTAACGTGATAATTGATTGGTGATAATTCAGCACAATGTGAAGTAATCGCACTTATCCATGCCTCACCGCACACAAGGTGCTGTACAGTTACTCAAACAATTGAAATACAGCTTTTGCTTAAAAGTGTTCAAAAGCAGCAATGTTGAAACTACCTTTTACAGGGGTTTGCTTTTTTAAATGTCCGTTGTACAATTATAAGTAAATTTATATACTTGCGATTTTTTTGTCTGTTTTTACTTAAAATACCGACTTGTGAGAACTTGCATTGAAATAGGCTTCAGAGTGTTCTTTTCAACGGTGTATCTACAAATTTTGACCCGATAATAAGCACTCATGCAAATCAAAACAATACTTCAAACGGAAATACGTCATGACGTGGAGGTATCCCATACTACCTTAATAATAGTTGTTATGAAAACGGTGAAGATAATAAAGAATAATCAATCTCATAAATCATGTGAACAAAAAGAATCGTAAAAAGGTAACAAACAGGGGTCCCTGAAAACACCAGGGATGGGATCCTGGTGCCTTCTGTATTATTCAGGTAAACAAGTAATCTGTAGACAAAATTGACACAAAAACTCACTTACTCACATAGGCATTGTTACATAATACATGTATTCAATAATTTGCAGCTGAATTCTGCTATGTGTTTATCTTTCATATCTTTATTAGATTTTATATTCATAAATATTTCTCCTTAGATATTCCAAAATCTTTAGATAATATTGCTTGAAAACATGGTCTACTTGTAGAAAAAGTTGCATTTTTATTTATATTGCTTGAATTTGAAAATTTATGAACTTTACGAATACTCTTAGTGGCCGACATAAGAATTTTGTACTCACATAGCCAATTAGATTTGTCAATAATATTGGAAAAATGGTTTAGTGGTCTAAAATATCCATTGTCATCAAATTAAACACACATATATAAAATTCCAGATTTAATCCAATTATCAAAGAAGATAGGTTTTCCTTTATAGACCAAATTACGATTATTCCAAATTGGCTGTTGCAAAATATCATCAGATGATCTTTTCTCAAAACTTAATTTACTTTTACAATCGTTAAAACAACTTAGAACTTCTTTATAAAAAAGTTGAACTTGTCGGCTTTTAAAGCTCCCCACGCCTGTTGTTGAACATTTTAAAAGATACTAAGAAAAGAAGAGGGATAACTCGGTCAACAAAATGTGTTTGTGAAACACTGATGCCCCCGTATGGCAGCTTATAGCGAAGATTAAACTTTCTCAAATGCAAATCAAATATGTTGGTACCCAAAGTAAGGTCTTGTACTGAGGAATATACCTGTGTAACATGAAAGCCCTAGCAGCAACCATTGAAAAGATTGGAAAAAGTTAAAGATTTTCAAAAGTAAGTCAAACATCAAGGTCAAATGGTCAAAATTAATGGTGCCCAAGGAAAGACCTTCTCACAAGAAATACACATGTGAAATATGAAAGCCCTAGCACTAACTGTTCAAAAATATGGTCAAAGTTAAAGTTTTTCAAAAGTAGGTCAAGTCCAAGGTGACGGTCAAAGGATCAAAGTTGTTTGTATCCAAAGTAAAGTCTTGTTACAAGGATTGCGCATATGTGAAGTAAGAGAAACCTAGCACCAACTGTTCAAAAGTTATGGCCAAGGTTAAGGTTTTTCAAGAGATTGTCAAACTCGTAGGTCAAGGCCAAAGGGTCAAAGTTGTTGGTATGCAAAGAAAGGTCTTGACACAAGGATTACACGTGTGAAGTACGAAAGCCCTAGCACTAACCGTTCAAAAGTTATGACCAAGGTTAAAGTTTTTTTTCAAAAATAGGTCAAACTCCTAGGTAAGGTCAAAGTTGTTGGTATCCAAAGTAAGATCTTGACACAAGGATTACACATGTGAAGTATGAAAGCCCTAGCACCAACTGCTCAAAAGTTATGGCCAAAGTTAAAGTTGGGTAAAACTGGGTCAAACTCCGAGCTCCAACCAATCAAAAGTTATGAGCAATGTTAAAGTTTTTGCGGACAAACAGACAGACATACGGACGGACAGGGCAAAAACTATATACTCCCCGAATCTTCGATATGGGGGCATAAAAATCATCGGACCACGACCAAACTAGAACTTGACATGTATTTTCTGGTAAAATACCTGCACATGCGATTTTAGTCTTATACATACATCCTTACAAAAGTTAGAGAACGGAAACTGAATTTCTTATTTTTTTTCTGATCGTAAGATCGTGTGTTCGAATCACGGCCGCGACTGACCTAAGTCGATAAAAAATAGGTAGCAACTGTTCCTTCGCCAAGCGATCGGCACTTTGAAGTGAAAGTTGCGGGTCCTTCGGATGAGACATTAAAAACCGAGGCCTCTTGTCACGGTAGGCGTTGGCATGATAAAGAACCATCACTGCTAAATAGCCCTGAGTGCCGAGTAAAGGTCTAAATTTGAAGCCCTTCACCGGTATATGGTGACCTCTCCATATGAGTGAAAAAATTCTCAAACGGGACGTAAAACAACATACAATCAATCAATCAATCTAGCATGCTGGAGTACAGTTCAGCCGTTCCCAATCTCAGCCGATATTAGACCTCCGCCTTTCAATTCAAGAACATTCTCAAGCCGTAAAAACAATATTCATTTCCCTGATTTATGAAGAAACAATAATTAAAAAACAAAATGTGTTAGTGAAACACTGATGTCTCCGTATGGCAGCTAATGTCAAGCGTTAAAGTTTCTCAAATGCACGTCAAACTCCAAGGTCAAGAGATAAAAAATGTTGTTACCCAAAGAAAGGACTTGTGTCAATGGATATATCTGGTACATGTAAATATGAAAGCCCAAGCATCAATCATTCAAAAGTTATGGGCAAGGTAAATGTTTTCTGAAAGAGGGTCAAACTCCAAGATCAAGGTCAAAGAGTCAAAATTAATGTTATTTAGGGGAAGAACTTGTCATAAGAAATACACAAGCAAAATATAAAAGCCCTAGCACCAATTGTTCAAATGTTTAGTCAAACTCCCAAGATCAAAAGGTCAAAACTGTTGGTATCCAAGGAAAGGTCATGTCACAAGGAATATATCTGTGAAATTTGAAACCCTTAGTGCTAACTGTTCAAAAGTTATGGCCAAGGTTAAAGTTTTTTTTAAAAAATCGAGTCAAACTCTAAGGTCAAGGTCAAAAGGTAAAAAATATTTATACACCCATGGAAAGGACATGTCACGATGAATGCACACGTGAAATCCATAGCACCAACTGTTCAAAAGTTATGGCCAAGGCTAAAGTTGGGTAAATTTTTGCGAAAGTGGGTCAAACTCCAAAGTCAAGGTCAAGAGAACAAAAATGTTGTTACCAAAAGAAAGGACTTGTGTCAATGGATATACCTGCTAAATATGAAAGTTATGGACAAGGTAATTGTTTTCTAAAAGTGGGTCAAACTCCAAGGTCAAGGTCAAAATTAATGGTACGCAGGGTAAGACTTTGTCATAAGAATAAAAATGCAAAATAAAGGGACCCTAGCAGCACCTTAATTATGGCCAAGGATAAAGTATTTCAAAAGTAGGTCAAACCCCAAGGTCAAAATTATTGGTAACTTGGTATTCAATGGAAGATCTTGTCACAAGGAATATATCTGTGATATTTGAAAGCCTTACTGCTAACTGTTCAAAAGTTATGGCCAAGGTTAAAGTTTTTTAAAAGGGAGTCAAACTCTAAGGTCAAGGTCAAAGGGTAAAAATACTTATACCCATGGAAAGGTCTTGTCACGATGAATGCACACGTGAAATATGAAAGCCCTAGCACCAACTGTTCAAAAGTTATGACCAAGTTAAAGTTGGGTAAATTTTTGTAAAAGTGGGTCAAACTCCAAGGCCAAGAGGTCAAATATGTTGGTTTTCATAGGAAGGTCTTGTCACAAGAATATGAAAGACATAGCTCCAATTAATCAAAAGTTATGAGCAAGGTTAAAGTTTTTGCGGAGATGGACAGACAGACGGACGGACAAGGAAAAAACTAAATACTTCCGAATCTTCGATTTCGGGGGCATAAAAAATATTGTGGAATTTTTTTTTTATTCTATTGAAAATAAAAGAAGTCGAGTTCATTAAATGAAGTCTTAATTCTATATATTTACATTTCCAAATATTTTTCCTTAAGGTTCTTTGCAAATTAGAAAAAGTTCATGTTCTCATGAACTACTGTGGGATGAGTAAGTGATGTGATTGAAGTCAAAAAATAGTAAAAGTAAATTTTTTTTTTTCAAAAATGATCGTTGAATGACAAAAATATGTGGCAAGTCATCAGAGAAATAATGTAAATATAAGATATGAATTTTATTTTTGAAAATTCGTGAGGTACATGAACTACAACGCTTCACGCCTGCATATTTATCATGAAGCGCTATCTAGCTCCATGAAATATGTGCACAGGCGTGAAGCGTCATAGTTCATGTCCTCATGAATTCTCAAAAATTAAATTCATCTCTTAATTAATCAACAGTTTTAATATGTGATTTCAAGCGTGTGTTATTATTATACTAGAGTTTAAAATGCGAATAGCATGGCATTTAATACACAACAAAATTTTTACTTTTCTTAAGTATTAAGGATAAAGTTTACTTTGTGAAAGAGCAAGGATGTGTCGATCAAACGCGTCCCGAAATTCGTAGTTTCAATAATTTCCAGATAAAATAAGTTTTTTTTTATTATATTTCCGTTTGAAATGCTATAGCAACATATAAGTCATGATATTATACAGAATTTGAGAAAATATTCACTTCAAATCTGTGTCTATGTCCCTTTAAATATACCGGTATGAATATAATTTACTGAAATTTAGTAACAGAAAGGTTCTTTTTATAAAAAGCATCACACAAGTTTGCAATAGATTGATTGGTAATTTTTTTTTTTTTAAATACGTATTCTAAAGTGCAGTGTCTGATTTCACAATCTTCTTACAGGGGTCTGATAGACCATATTTCATACTGACTCTCATTAATGCTGCATGCTTGCGATTTATATTTAATATTTCTAAGCTTTAAATTGTATATCAGTTATTGTTTAACATTCTGAAAATTCTTTTTTTGACTCAATTGTCTTTCAGATTTTTAACATTGATGTTTATATTGGCAACACTACATTTTTCCTGTTGCACTCCTGGCATGGTATAACTTTTTTTTTTTTGAACATCAGCCATGACTACAACTTGGTCAAACAAAAATTGCTACAGTCTACATTTAAAGCTCAATACTTTGAAATTATCAGGAGTCTTTTTTTCCAACATAAACCATTATTTTTTTTTCTCAGATCTTCAAAAGATATTTATATTGAATTTTCAAAATGTAACAAAAGTACGTGTTGCACTCCTGTCATTTTTAGCATCATATCTGGGCATAACTTTTTGTGAATTGAGATATCAATGATATATTTGGCAGGTATTTAGACACTATCTATAGACACATATGCTGAGACATAGAAATTTATTCCCATTGTCTGTATTTTTAGTGCAGGTTGATAAATATGTGTTTCGTCATTTTTTTCAATTCACCCACAAGTGGTTTCTGGACAAAACCAATAAATCTACATGTACACTAGCCAGAAAGGCCTCTAGAGAAAAATTTATTAACATACTAGTATGAAAAGTCATTAAATTTTACTTATAAAATTTTGTCATTCTTCCAATTTCTCTCAAATTCTCTCTTTGCTTATGTTCTATCCAGAGTTGTGTTCCTTGTACATAAAACAGAAAATGAAAGTAGATTTAGAAGATTTTCGTGTGGTATGTGGAATGATAATATTATTATGTTAAAATGTGGAAAAGAAATGAAGACTGGATCTGACTAGGGAAATTTTTTAACTTCTCGGTTGAAAAAGTGTACGTCATGAGGCGTTCACAGAAAATGGTTGGTTTAATTATTTCAAATTTACTCTTATCAAAATCACCAATGTACATAAAACAATCCGTGACCTTCAGCACCAGGAAACTACCAGTGTTGACATTATTCACTAAGGAAGATTGTACACTCTGTGATAACGCCCTGGAAGTTCTCAAGCCTTATAGTCACCAGGTATTAGTGAAATTGTATAATTGTTTGAGAAAGTTGCTTGGTAACAGCAGCAAATCACTGTTTCGATCATTATTGTACATGCAAGCTTTGCAACGAGTCGGGGTCTGATTAAGTCTCATCAGTCTCGTTAATTTTGGAAATGAACATGATAAACGGACTGGTATAAAGACTTCCCATGCAGATGGAAGAAAAGAGCCAAATATCAAAATGTTTAGTGATTTATTTAACGTACATGTACTTTCATAAATACATGACTATATATAGAATAAAATTAGACTATAACAGCAACCTACCGACTTCTATACGCGAATATCAAATATACCACAGAAATTACTTCATGTAGCCTACTACTTAAAACAAGAAAAGTCTCATGTTTAAACTTGAATATTATAAGTTTGTATTAATATCAGGTTAAGCAAACATTTGATTGTGATATAATAGTAAAAAGTGTGCATTTATCAGTAGCTCACATTGGGCATGTTGTAAATGCAGAACTTTGTCAAATAGCTGTTTAAAAAAGTGCAGTATAATTCACGTCGAATGACTACATATATCTGATTATCATATGTTTATTTTAATATTAACTTCACACTTCTTCAGTACTTAAATTTTCTTTATAACTGCTATTATTATATGATATATTTCAGTTTGAACTAGAGAAAGTGGACATAACATTGCCAGAAAACAAGGAATGGTATAAGAAGTATAGATACGATATCCCAGTGTTCCATCTGAATGGACAATATCTGATGAAACACCGCACAGATCTACAAGTATTCCTAAAGAGAATGGCAGAAATAGAAGGGACGAATTAGTAATAAACTGCTGCTCTTTGTACCAATTAATTTATTCTCTTGAATTAGACAGAATGACAGAATGAATTAATCAATGGCTATTCAAAGCTACTAATATGTTCACAACAACTCGTATAGATATGATAATAAAATTCCCTATAATTATTTCACTGGATATTTTATTTTCTCATCCATATTTGCTGCAAAAGTTTGTATTTGATTTTTCCCACATTGTGTTATCAATTAGGAAATTTATAATTTTGAAAACTCGTGCTAAAATGAAGAAAGTGGAAGAATAAACACCTTTCTCCACTGTAAAATATCTGATTATTTAGTTATGACAGGGAAAAATTAGTTTTAAACAATTTTGGGTGCTAAGCCATCTTCTAAATTGCATTAAAATTTTGTCAGGTAGTTACCTATTACCTAAGGTTTTTCATGAAGGATGTATTGAGCAGGAATTAATTACGAGTTTTTAAAAACAGAATAACTTCACCAGTGGTCAAATGCTAATCTAAATAAAGTATAAATGATGGGAGCGAATTTATTGGACTGCTACCGAGGTATATTTTTTAAACAGAGTGACACACCCCCTTCCTTCTGGATTATCGCTAACTTGACTTCTGATAAGACTGCCTTATGTCGTTATCTGATCAAAGTGACTCAATCATGTTAACACAGTAATACTGGTCACTGGTTTATTAGTATATGGAATTCACCATGAACTTCTCTGTGTTGGTTGTTTTTCTCTTTGTATATGGTTTAACCATCCCTCGGGTGAGTATACGATTTTTCAAATATACATTATCACATTTATTCTATAAATGTTATAGTAGTACTAGGAACTTCGTGTATAATACAGTGTATAATACATAATATAGACCTATGAAAATAGTGCATGCAATAAGATTTAAATTGTTCTCTCACATTCGTCAATATTGAGTTGTTAGGCCTACTGTACTATATCCTAATATTAACTTTTATTTTATGATTGAATAATTCCTTTTTCTGATTGGCTATCGAACAATGTAGAAAAAATACTATGTTATATCTACCTGCACATGACCTTACAGGTGAATATAAGGATTTATTTTTCTCCTCATTAGACTAAAAATAGATTGGGAAAATCCGATTTGATACAAAGTGAATAGTTTTGGAAAGTTATTTCACTTGCACCTGACTTCCACTCATATGATCATATTCTTGAATGAGGGGTGGGGGTGCAGGAGGCCTGCCCATCTCCCCACTTTTTTTTAGAATGAAAGTTTAAGTTTTAATTTAAAATTTACATTTAAAAATCTTTCAATGAAAGACCCCTCCTCTCGTTTATGGACCTTAACTTTCCACAAAACAAAATTTTGAGTTGGGAGAATCTTTTCTCTTTTTTTGGGGGGGGGGGGGTTACAAAGAAGTCAATTTTTTCCTTAAAATGACCCCTTTTTCAAAATTAATCCTATATATGTGCCTTGTATTTATTTTTACTACATTGTACCTAAAATAGAATTAAACAAGATGTGTCTGTGAAACACTGATGCCCCCGTGTGGCAACCTATAGCTAAGGTTAAACTTTCTCAAATGCAAATCAGATAAGTTGGTACCCAAAGTAAGGTCTTGTCCCGAAGAATATACCTGTGAAATATGAAATCCCTAGCAGCAACCATTGAATAGATATTGAAAAGATCAAAGTTTTTCAAAAGTAAGTCAAACATCAAGGTCAAATGGTCAAAATTAATGGTGCCCAAGGAAAGGCCTTCTCAGAAGAAATACACATGTGAAATATGAAAGTCGTGGCACCAATCGTTCAAAAATTATGGCCAAGATTAAAGTTTTTCAGAAGTAGGTCAAACTCCTAGGTCAAGGTCAAAGGGTCAAAATTGTTGGTATCCAAAGGAAGGTCTTGTCACAAGGATTACCTATGTGAAGAATGAAAGCCCTAGCACCATCCGTTCAAAAGTTAAGACCAAGGTTAAAGTTTTCCGAAAGTAGGTCAAACTCCTAGGTCAAGGTCAAAGGGTCAAAGTTGTTGGTATCCAAAGGAAGGTCTTGTCACAAGGATTACCTATGTGAAGAATGAAAGCCCTAGCACCATCCATTCAAAAGTTATGACCAAGGTTAAAGTTTTCCGAAAGGAGGTCAAACTCCTAGGTCAAGGTCAAAGGGTCAAAGTTGTTGGTATGCTAAGGAAGGATTTGTCACAAGAATTACATATGTGAAGTATGAAAGCCTTAACACCAACGTTCAAAAGTTATGACCAAGATTAAAGTTTTGCAGAAGTAGGTCAAATTTCTAGGTCAAGTTCAAAGGGTCAAAGTTGTTGGCATCCAAAGGAAGGTCTTGTCACAAGGATTACTAGTACACATGTGAAGTATGAAGCCCTAGCACCAATCGTTCAAAAGTTATGGCCAATGTTAAAGTTCGGTAAAATTTTGCAAAACTGGGTCAAACTCCAAGGTCAAGGTCAAAAGATCAAAATATGATGGTGCCCAAAGAAAGGCCTTGTGAGAAGGAACACAGATGTGAAATATGAAAGCCATAGCTCTAAACAATCAAAAGTTATGAGCAAGGTTAAACAGACATCTAGACAGACAGACGGACGGACAGGGCAAAAACTATATGCAGAGATGAAGATTTACAAATAAATAATGCGCTTTCACAATATAATCAATAGAGCCCCCCCCCCCCTTTCCCGGAGAACTTCTCACTCTGGGGCCACAAATTTCACAATCTTGTAAGAAGCATCCTTGATCATCATAACAATACACCTAGTTTATCTGCTTTATATACAAGGGGGAGAAGATTTTTAAAGAATTAATGCATTTTCATTATATGATCAATAGAGTCCCATCCTAACATCAGAACCCTTGACCCAGGGGCCAAGATATTCATAATTTTGGAAGAGGCGCCCTTGTTCATCATAACTATACACTTGTTTTATCTGCTAAATACCTAGGAGCTGAGAAGATTATTTAAAGAAATAATGCACTTTCATTATATAATGAATAGAGCCCCCCCCCCCCCCTTCCCGCAGAACCCCCACTCTGGGGTCACAAAATTCACAATTTTGGACGAGGCACCTTTGATCATCATAACCATGCACCTAGTTTATCTTCTTTATATACAGGGAAAGAGAAGAAGATTTCTAATGAATTTATGTATTTTCACTTTATGTTCAATAGAGCCCTGTCCTAACATTATAACCCCTGACCCAGGGGCCATGAAGTTCACAATTTTGGAAGAGACACCTTTCTTCATCATAACTAGTAAATCTTCTTAATGCCCAGGAGCAGATAAGAAGATTTTCAAAGAATTATTGCACTTTCACCATATAATAAATAGAGCCCCCCCCCCCTCCCGCAGATCCCCTCATCCTGGGGTCACAAATTTCACAATTTAGGAAGAGGCACCCTTGATCATCATAAACATGCACCTAGTTTATCTTCTTTATATACAGGGGAAGAGAAAAAGATTTTCAAAGAATTAATGCATCTTCACTATATAATCATAAGAGCCCCATCCTAACACCAGAACCCCTGACCCAGGGGCCATGAAATTCACAATTGTAGAAGAGGCCCCCCTCCTCCTTATAACTATGTACTTAGTCCATCGGCTTAACACCCAGGGGCAGAGGAGAAGATTTTCAAAGAATTAATGCATTTTCACTACATGATAAATAGAGCCCCGCCCTAACACCAGAACCCCTGACCCAGGGGCCATGAAATTCACAATTTTGGAAGAGGCAACCCTCCTCATCATAACTATGCATTTAGTTTGTTTGCATAATACCCAGGAACAGAGGAGAAGATTTTTAAAGAAATAATGCATTTTCATATATTCAACAGAGCCCCACCCTAGCACCAGAACCCCTGACCCTGGGGCCATGAATTTCACAATTTTGGTAGAGGGCTCAATGCTTATTACAATCATGCCAACAGTCTGACTGCTTGATGTCCAGGAGTGAAGAAGATTTTTAATTAAAGATTACATTAATTTTAATGGTTTTGGACCTACCCATCAGGCCTCAGGGGGGCAGGGACCATGAGATTCACTACTCTTTTTCCCCCTTCACCCATAGATGCTATATGCCAAAATTTAATTGTTGAAATTGATTGAGCGGTTTCAGAGACAGGGGTGTGCAATTAAAACAAGAGGCCCATGGGCCACAACGCTCACCTGAGTAACTTTGGCCTTGCTGTTTTTCACCCGATTTCCCCCTTGTAATACCTATTGTGGCCCCGCCCTACCCCAGGGGTCATGATTTGAACAATTTAGAATCTACACTACCCCAGGATGCTTCCACATAAGTTTCAGCTTTTCTGGCCCAGTGGTTCTTGAGAACAAGATTTTTAAAGATATTTTCTACATATTTCAATGTAAAACTTGGATTCCCTATTGTGGCCCCGCCCTACCCCTGGGGATCATGGTTTTTACAATTTAGAATCTACACTACCCCAGGATGCTTCCACATAAGTTTCAGCTTTTCTGGCCCAGTGGTTCTTGAGAACAAGATTTTTAAAGATTTTTTCTACATATTTCAATGTAAAACTTGGATTCCCTATTGTGGCCCCGCCCTACCCCAGGGGTCATGATTTGAACAATTTAGAATCTACACTACCCAAGGATGCTTCAACATAAGTTTCAGCTTTTCTGGCCCAGTGGTTCTTGAGAAGAAGATTTTTAAAGATATTTTCTACATATTTCAATGTAAAACTTGGATTCCCTATTGTGGCCCCACCCTACCCCTGGGGGTCATGGTTTTTACAATTTAGAATCTACACTACCCCAGGATGCTTCCACATAAGTTTCAGCTTTTCTGGCCCAGTGGTTCTTGAGAAGAAAATTTTTAAAGATTTTTTCTACATATTTCAATGTAAAACTTGGATTCCCTGTTGTGGCCCCGCCCTACCCCCGGGGGTCATGATTTGAACAATTTAGAATCTACACTACCCCAGGATGCTTCCACATAAGTTTCAGCTTTTCTGGCCCAGTGGTTCTTGAGAAGAAGATTTTTAAAGATTTTTTTCTACATTTTTCAATGTAAAACTTGGATTCCCTATTGTGGCCCCGCCCTACCCCCGGGGGTCATGATTTTTACAATTTAGAATCTACACTACCCCAGGATGCTTCCACATAAGTTTCAGCTTTTCTGGCCCAGTGGTTCTTGAGAA